TTCAGTAGGATATAAAAGATTTTATATCCTACTGAACTATTAAAACCATATAATACCTTGGTTACGATAATCATAAATAGGGTCTTAACTCCCAAGGGAGTTAAGGATTTTCATAACTCCCAAGGGAGTTAAGGAAGGGAGTTAAGGATATCATAACTCCCAAGGGAGTTAAGGATTTCCATAACTCCCGCTTTTACCTTGAATAGGTAACACTTTGACAAAAAATAGAAATTTTGATTTATGGCTTATTCCTTTATAAAAATAGACAGAATACAGTAAATTCAGTAGGATATAAAATTATCTATGTACCACGGGAATTATCAGGAGTTAATACCCACGGTCAATTGGTGTCCCTCGGGCCGGAGGCCCTCGGGACACAAACGTTGCCCTGGGGTATTAACACCTGCATAATTCCCTTGATACATAAATAACTATTATATCCTACTGAACTATTAAAACCATATAATACCTTGGTTACGATAATCATAAACAGGGTCTTAACTCCCAAGGGAGTTAAGGATTTTCATAACTCTCAAGGGAGTTGAGGAAGGGAGTTAAGGATATCATAACTCCCAAGGGAGTTAAGGATTTCCATAACTCCCGCTTTTACCTTGAATAGGTAACACTTTGACAAAAAATAGAAATTTTGATTTATGGCTTATTCCTTTATAAAAATAGACAGAATACAGTAAATTCAGTAGGATATAAAATTATCTATGTACCACGGGAATTATCAGGAGTTAATACCCACGGGCAATTGGTGTCCCTCGGGCCGGAGGCCCTCGGGACACAAACGTTGCCCTGGGGTATTAACACCTGCATAATTCCCTTGATACATAAATAACTATTATTTCCTACTGAACTGTTATAACCATATAATACCTTGGTTACGATAATCATAAACAGGGTCTTAACTCCCAAGGGAGTTAAGGATTTCATAACTCCCGCGCGGGAGTTAAGGATATCATAACTCCCAAGGGAGTTAAGGATTTCTATGACTCCCGCTTTTACCTTGAATAGGTGAGGTGAAAGGTGAAACTTTGACAAAAAAATAGAAATTTTGGTTTATGGTTTATTTCTTTACAAAAATGGACAAAATACAGTAAATTCAGTAGGAAATAAAATTATCTATGTACCACGGGAATTATCAGGTGTTAATACCCACGGGCAATTGGTGTCCCTCGGGCCGAAGGCCCTCGGGACACAAACGTTGCCCTGGGGTATTAACACCCTCATAATTCCCTTGATACATAAATAACTATTTTAAATGTTTTTGGGCCGCATAACATCCCCCCCCTCCAATGTCCGCAACCCACGAGCCGCCGCTGTATCATCATTATAGGATATTGGGGGCCCGAAGTTTTGCTTGGGCCTTGGGGCCCCACTGAATCAAAAATAGGCGCTGGATATAAGCCAAAAACTGAAAAAGTGACCTTTGGGACGCCCCCCTCCCCCCCGCGGCGTATGAAGTCGACGGGACTTTATAACTTATAACACGTCGTCAAGGACATCATCCCCCTACACATTTCTGAAAAAATTGGAACCCCATCATTTAATGCAAGATTCGTCGCCATTTTGAATTAGTTTGCTTGGACTTGAAAGCATAGTGTCTGTCCATGGCGATAATTTATTATGTGTTTATTGTGCGGTGAAATTACGTATTCATTTGATGAACGTGAGTATGACGTATTAATCTTTATCACGAATAAAATCGCAGTGTGGTTTTGCGGCGTACTGGTCTTTTCTCGTAAAGGTTGCTCTTTAATATTTATAACTTAATGTTTTCTTGGGAGGTTAGGTTGTGTTTCCTCCTCAGTGTACTTGTCGTTATCGTTTTACTGGGCATTATCTGCTTATCGTACTGTTGGTCCATTTTTTGGTTCAATTCTAACCTTGCATTCCTTTACTTATTTTTCTTTTATTTCCAATAATCAGATACAGAAAATTAAACAATAGTATATTGTGTATTTAGGTGAAAAAGTGACACATTCTAGGCCGACGGTGTAAGTTGACGGGCGAGGCGTAGCCGAGGCCGGCAAACACCGAAGGCCGAGAATGTGCTTTTCCACCGAAATACACATACTATTTTTTCTGAGATCGATTAAATATCTGTTAAACGTTTGTATTTTTGTTCCAATTGTTCAACAGTACGAGAATCACTTTCCCGGCCTAGGCCGGAAAAGTGATTCTCGTATTGTTATTCATTGATTCCTTAGCAACTATTGAAACATAATTGAAATACCAGAATATTGGGTTTTGCGACCTGTCAACCGGTCAAAAATGTTGACATTTCTTGTCAATCTCAGAAAATAGAATATTAACAATATACATTCATAAACCAAGAGCCGTAGCTATGTTGGTTTTACAATAACAAAATTTGATACTATTCCTACAAAAGTGAGGTAATGTAGCCTAGCATTACTGAATATGTTTTATATAAAAGTTTAAAGGAATTATATTAGATCATTTTTTTTTTGGATGGCAGGTTGTTTGTTATACAAAATCAGTCCTTCTGAATAAATGCTTCTTTGTGGTATGGTAATCATGAACATCTTCCGTCCGAGTTAGAGAAATATTTGTATGTGTTTGAGATAGCTCATGCTCATATTTGTGAATAAATGTACATATTTGGAGAATGTACATAGATTTAATGTTAAGTATTCCTCTTGGACCATAAAAAGTTTCCGTTGGGTGAAGACGTGGCAACTGGTACACATATTTAACAGCTCTATTCTGTAACACCGTAAGAGGATGAAGGTGCTTTTGATTTTTGTTGCACCATATAATGGTTAATTATAACAGATCCGAGTTTATCAGGGAGTAGTATACCATTTTACGCTGTTGTATATTTATATATTTAGCAATTCTTCCCAGCAGACCCACAGCTGGAGCAATTTTGTGACATATAGTTAATATATGTTGTTCCCATGTAAGACGATTATCTATGTACAATGCAAGATACTTAATGTTTGCTAAATTTGAATTTCCCAAAGTTCAATTATTGCTGCGTTCTGTTTATATCTATAATTGAAATTATCATGTAACTGCATTTATTCATGTTCGGGGAAAGTTTGTGATATCTAAGCCATTCGTCTATCTCGTTCAAATCTTCTTTTTCCGCATACAGCAATCCTGAGTCATCTGCATATAGGTATAGTGTTGATCTTAAAGGTAAACTGGAAATGGAGTTCGTATATGTATACAAAAAACAATGTGGGTCCCAATATAGACCCTTGGGGAACTCCACATGTTATATCTTCTGTTGTAGTACTAAGCACATTTTTACGTAGTACTTTTTGAGTTCTTCCACTCAGATAGTCTTTCAACTGACCATACCAAGGTCATTCCAGTTATTCCATTTTGTTCTAGCACTGTTAAGTATGTCATGGTCGATCCGGGCTTTTTGCAAGTCCAGTGATACAAGTACACAGCTTAACCCGTTGTCCATTTTGCTATACAGGGTGACATTTTAAAAACTCACAATGGCTATATCTCAGGAACCAAAAAAAATATAAAAAAACGCGGAAAACAATTTCTATAGTAGGGAGAGGGAAACAAAATTATGTACTAACTAACTTGTTTTCACTCACCCCCTCACCCCCAGCTACCACAACTTAGTAATCTTAAATGACACCCCCCTACTTGCGATACCTTATCTGAAAGCTCTCAAAAAATGCTTTTCAATGGTACACTACAAGCTAGGATTCGATGTAATTATTTTCAAAATAAAACCATTGAAATGTGAATTGAATTTTTGACTAATAATTTAATAAAAATTTAAAAACATTTTTTTACTATCGTAGCATTAATCTTGAGGCTTAAAAATTTTAGGCTTATATTATTTTTTGTTTATTCGTTGTTTTAGGAACCTGAAAAAATTGACATGTCTAAAAAAATACAATTCCAATTCAAATGAATGAAGTTTTATTTACCCAATAAACCAAAAACAGTCACATCGAATCCTAGTTTGTAGGGTACCACTGAAAAGCATTTTTTAAGAGCTTTCAGATAAGGTGTCACAAGTAGGGGGGTGTCATTTGAGATTACTAAGTTGGGGTACCTGGGGGTGAGGGGGTGAGTGAAGACAAGGCAACTTTGACAGTGAATATCTTGAGCACTAATCATTCGATTTTCAAAAAAAGTACACATTTGAGAATCAAAAGACCTTTGAAACAAGATGCCACTCGACCTATCTTCCCTATCTAAAAAAAGGAATGAAAGTCACAACACCCAGGGAAAATATTGTTGGAATCAAAAAATTTCCCCCTTGAATACAAAAGTGACTTGTCACAGCGTTTTTTTTTAAATCGACCTTAAAATACGCAAAACGCCCCTGTTTCAATGTTCGTGAAACACCCAAAAGAAGACCAGAAACGCCACCTCAACTAGGAAAGTCGGTGAAAACTTTCGAATCTTGTCGGACGTTAAAGATATCATAAAATCGGCCTAGATATGAGAAATGAAGCAAGCTCCTCATACAGAAATTAATTTTGGATATTATTTTTCTCATTTTCACCCTCAGAAACCCTGAAAACGACACCCTTAACGTGAAAATTGCTCTAATGAAATATAAATTGCCTGAAATTTGTCTCAATTTTAAAAATTGGCGTTATTTTCAATCCCCTTAGGAACAGAATTTATACGGCTCTGCGACTCCAATCCCTCCAAATAGGTCTAGGGAATATGTGTATTGTTCGTCGATTTTTATCTGACACTTGCGGTATGAGGAGCGAGGGGGTGAAGTATATGGTAAAAACAGGTGTGACGTCAGGTGACCATTGGCGTTGTAATGTAGGGTGCCACCAGCTCACATTCCTTACGAGTATCAGATTAAAATCGACGGACTTTACGAAGTGGCACAATTAATACAAAATGCTGTTCGTCCTCAGGGACCGCTCCCACTACTATAAATACAGAGTCATTATCTTGTAGTGAATATTTTAAGAGAATTTATTAGTTTAAGTTCATGTATAAATGTATACATATAACAAATTACTTACCGTAATACACCCATTGCATCTGACAAGGCAGATAATATACTCTCACGGAATTTCTTAAGTGATGTATACTCTTCCAGTTTAACGTCGGAATTTGTGAGCACTAGCGCTTTCAGTAGGTAATACTCTTCTTTAAGCAATGACAAACTTTCCAACCTTTCCACTACATGCGTACACTAGAAAAAAAAATAATTATGGATATCGAATAATTTAAATAAACACTCCAAATATTCTTACGGTTTGATATAATTCAAGTGCCCCGCAATCCTTTGATTGCTTCTCGTCTAAAGTAAAATCTGTAGCGAACTTCAACCGTTTCAAACTAGCCATGGGTATACTTCTAAACGCCAGCGTTAAAGTTAAAATTTCTGCCCACGTGCTTTGAAGTAAACGCATTTGGTCGTTTAATGAGAGATCCGCAAAACCAGGAATTTGTTTGGCCCAACCAATTATACCAACTAATTCGCGATCGTAAAGGTCGCTCAATAATGATAGCGTTCTGTGCTTTGAATCTTCTAAGGCGGTATTAATTTCTAAACAATCTGGCTCACACGCAATAAGGGCTTCAAGCATTTTGATGTCTAAAATAAACAATGTTTTATTAAAACTTTTCATCTTCTCAAGAGTTTAATTCTTAATATTTAACTCACCTTCAAGCAAAACATGGGGTTTTTGGGCGGACACTACTTGTACTTGATAAGGGCTGTCCGGATTTCTTCTGTACTTTTGTCGACCGCCCCGGACCCTGTCTAGTCGGACGCCCTCTTTTAGCATGCCAGATCGTAAGCATTTCCTAAAACGACACGCCTGGCATGCCTTTCGACGTCGTTTGTTTATTTCACAGTCTCCGGAAGCTGGGCAAGTATATTCTATATTGCCTGAAATATAAAAAGTTTATAGAGAAGTTAAAAAGCAGGCTGATGGCTGTACTAAAACAGCACAGGTGACACATGAATCTATAATGGGAATTTTCATTAAATATTTTGTGCTGGCTGCTGGCTTATTCGCTATTTTAGCAAGATCTTGCTGCAACGGTTAGATTTGGAATGGAATACATTTTTTTAATATCAGTAGATTCCTATTTGCAGATTTTTTTTTTCAATCTGTATATAGAAGTCCTTACAAGAAAAATAAATATTACATTTAAATTTAAAAAAAAAACGATAGTTTAAATATGCGGTGTTGCAATAATAACATACCTACTTATAACCTACCTTAATAATAAAAAGATTGTTGATTTATCATGGGAAAGAATAAAAATTATCATGAATTCATTTAAAGTGTGCATTTCAAACATGTTTATAGGAACGCCTTACCTTGAATAGTTCTTTTAAAAAATGCTTTGCATGCCTCGCATGAAGCCACACCATAATGGAATCCAGACGCAAAGTCGCCACAAACCAGGCACAGCCTTCTTGGAGAATCATCATCATTTTTCATATCACTCTGCAAAGAAAATTGAATCCATTAACTTGTCAAGATCTATTTGGGTCAGTCACGACTAGATTGTAATAATTGGAGATCAAAGACTAGGTAATTTGATTTGTTTTTGTTTGTAACGCATAAAATTACACTGGTCTACAGTGCTAGACCTAATAATTATTATCTTCCTGAAAATTTATAAATATTTGCCCCGTAAACTATTAATTTATAGAAGGTTTGGATTATTGAAAACCTAGTTTTCAAATATTAGGATAATCAATTTCATAGCAAACTTAAAACCTAATTCCAAAATAATTACCTCGCCAACTCCGATTCCTGTGTCTGTGTGAGGTTGCGTAGTCGAGGAGCAATACTGTCGTTCTGGGCTGCCGGGAGATCGAATTTTGGGGTCATAGTGTTCTCGATAATCCATCCTCTGAAATAGATTTCAAAAACTTAATCAAAATTACCTACCTACATTTAAAGTTAGGCATAAAAAAAAGGTAAGCAGTAGCAGGCGTCAATTCTAATGACAACTCCGTTGTATACTGTATTAAAATTAAACTGAAGAAAAACTAGACAAATATGAATGGCAGAAGAATGATATTAGTTCAACAATTGGTCTCCATGCAGAGAGTCTAACAGATATAATATAGGGTGTCCCAGCCGAGAGTGACCCATTTTAAATGCTTATAACTTTTAAACCAGGTGAGCTAGCTACCTGCGGTTTGTGCCATTTGATTTCTCTTGGTCTAAAGTTTTTTCTAGGTTTCAAATTTTTTTAAAATTTATCACAGGGCGAGTAAAAAAAATCCATTTTTCAACACCGAAATTCTCCACTATTTTCAATGGAAGTGAAATATCGCAACGTCAAAAAATAGATTCATGTTTAAGGTATCCATGCACCAATAGACATCGTCCCTAAAACTTGAAGTTTTAGCCGTAAAAAATCAAATTCGAAATCTTGGTATTTTTGCAAACACCTATTTTCAAAGCTTCAACTTTATGTTTGCCTAATAAAAAGTTAATAACAACTGCATAAAACTATACAAAAAGCTGTAGGTACCTATATGTATATGTAAGCCATTCTGTTCCAGGCATTTGTGGATCAATAAATGGTTGAATGAATTGTGTAACATTTCCTAGAGAATCGCTTCAATGACATTACAAATGTTCCACTTAAGATCTTTCAGGCTATTTTAGCAAAGTATTGCCGCATCTTTCCTTGACATAACGCCAGAGAAAAGAATCTAGAACTCTCAAGTCAATAGAGTAAGGTGTCCATTCTATAGGCCAGCGGCCAGCTCTCCTTATCCGTCTTTCCCCAAATGTCATGTCTAGTGATTCCCTTGCTATTAATGAATAATGAGGTGGGGGCATCATCCTGCTGAAAATAGATATCATTCAAGATAACCTGCTGTCTCAAATATGGGAAAAAGAACATATCAGTGTATACAGTTTCTGTTATTGTTGGTTCATCAATGAAAATGGTCTGTATTTTTTCTCAATAGAGATTGCACACCAAACTGTTACTGTTGGGGTATCTCTATTTAATGAGTTACTCGCTAAATCTTGGAAAATGTATCTCAACTTAAATGATATCTAACTAGACAGTTACAAAATTGTTTGCTATAGTGATATCAAGTTCCTACAACATGAAGTTACCAAGATTTCGATTTTGATTTTTTTTCGGCTAAAACTTCAAGTTTTAGGGACGATGTCTATTGGTACATGGAAACCTTAAACATTAATCTTTCTTTTGACGTTGTGATATACAGGGTGTTCCATTAGAAATAGTGGAGAATTTCGATGTTGAAAAACGCTCGCCCTGTATAAGTTTCAAAAAAAATTTGAAACCTACTGGAAAAAACTTTAGACCAAGAGAAATCGAATGGCACAAACCGCAGTTAGCTAGCTCACCTGGCTTAAAAGTTATAAGCATTTAAAATGGGTCACTCTCGGCTGGGACACCCTGTATTAAAAAGCAACAGTGGAGGGTGCTTTGTCCAATAAAAGATCTACTACCAGATTTTAATAAGAATGTTCTTGCTTCTTTCGATTTATTATTTCAATTAATTAAGTGGTTTCAGAGTATTCTAATAGGCAGAAAACTATTATCTGTCAAAATGAACAATTATATCTCCTCAGAAATGGAAGTTACTTCTGGTGTTGCCCAGGGTGGACACCTATCTACACTTATTTTAATTGTTTTTTTTTTTTTTTATGATGTTGCACATGTATTTAAATCTAGTAGGTATGTTTTTTGCATTTGCTGATGATTTGAAAATTTTCAAGATGGTTAAATCCTGAAGATTGTATTTTGATGCAGGAAGATTTAAATAGATTTTTCTGCTTGGTGTGAATTGAATAATTTGACTTCAAACTTTCGAAAGTGTAGTGTTATCTCATTCAGTAGATTTAGGGGCCCTATTGTTTTCTATTATACAATTGATTCATTGGAGTTGGAGAGACAAACCCTAGTTAGGGACCTTGGCATCTGGCTAGACAGCGAGTTAACCTTTTCAAAACATATCGATATAATAACAAATAGAGCAATAAGTAAACTGGAGCTTGTGTTTAGAAGTCTTGAGGGTTTTAAGAGTGTTTTTACAATAGGAGATGTTTATTGTTGTCTTCTAGTTCGATCAATCCTAGATTATGGAAATATTGTATGGCAACCATATTATGTTGTACATAAGGAAGAACTAAATAGAGTACAAAGTAAATTTCTCAAAAGAATAGGATTTAAACTAAATACCTATTCCTTATAAAAATATTAATTGTGAAGAAATTAGAAAATTGTCTACGGTCTGATCTCACACATATCAAGACTGATGTGTAAATTGACAAATAATGTGATAAAAAAATGTGATAGTATTGATATTTTTAATGATAGCTTTAACCAATTTAGATCTTAAGTTAAAAAACACCTACTAACATAATGATTGTATTGTCAGACAGGTTTTTGAACTGTTTTAAATTGTTTGTTCTTGTTTTTGTTTAATTTTGTAACTGTTACTTTTTAATCCGCCATCTTTTTATATTTCTTATTAAATTAGTGTATATTTTAAAACGATTATTTTGACCTTTGATTGGTTTCTTGTCTTTTTTTTATATTATGTTTATAATGATATGTAGTTACTCATAAAAAGACGAGCTCGGTTACTTAGAAAATTATTTTTATTAATTAAATCTCTTCAACGTTTCACCTTGAGACAAATTTATAATTTTAATTTATTGCGGGCGGCATCCTTTGAGACAAAGTAACATGTACATATTCGTACCGAGATTTTTAAGTGATTTAAAACGGATTCTAATTTATTATAGCGGCATCTTTGAAAACGAACACCTGCAAATTTTTCGGCTTTTTTTAAAGTCACAAAGAACAGAATTTCTACAGGCGTGGAGCTGTGGCCGCAGAAATGACGCAAAAATCGCGTATAAAAAGGGGATGTCCATGCCGTTTAAAAGACAGTAAGAAAAAGTCACAAAGTCAGCAAGATAGAATGATCCAGAGCTTGAGTTGAAAGTCGAGTAATAAGTCAGTTTTCCGAAAATGTAGTAAACAGTAAATTTCGGTCTAACTCTAAACAAAGTTACGATAATAGGAAATTCTTGAATCGGAGTGAGAAAATTCTTAAATCGTGAAAACCAGTGAAGTAGATATCCGAAATCGAACATTTAAATTCGGGATCGGTAGTAAAAGTTAATTACGCGCCGCGACGACAAGTAAAGACACTATAAGAAGAAAATTGAACGTTGTATACTAAGGTAAATATTTTTGTGGACTTAACTTGTGAACTTAAATTGTGGACTTAAATAAATTGTGAAGATTTGAACTATAACTTTATCCATTGACCCTTCTTAGTAACATGCATTCACTGCTCGAATTATTTTTATGCTAGCAAATCGTGAGTATGAAGTAGCGAATCGACTGATAATAAATAAGGGAAATGTTTTTGAAATTGAAGTTACTATTTTAAAGCAAAGCTTTTTAATGATGATGAAATGTTAGTACTAATTTGAGCGAAAAGCTCCTAAGTTTTGGAGTAAAGAAGTTTGTTTACCTGATTATATAAATAAAAAGATATTAACCATTTGAAATGCAGAGGATTTGTGTACTTATTTCCACCCCTAACAATTACGAACCCTACCACTGTAGCCAATCTGGTAAAAATCTGTAGTAAATTGGAAACCGCTCGCCAACAATCAACATCTTAAACAGTGATATCAGGGCGGGCACTACAAATGGTGTCAGGTGTGGGGTTTGATTAAATTGCAGGGTAGGTACACACAATACAAGGATGTTTAAATGATGAGTGCATGAAAATATGAGAATGGACCTTTCTCATGCAATGAACAACAAGGATAGTTTATTAAGATTTTTGCAATAATGAAAGAGACACATATAATGACGCGCGATACCTGTGTGGATTGACTTTGATTGGTTCCACTTGTCAAATTGTGCAATTTCGGTTATGTTTCTGTTTTTGTTTATTTTCAAACGTAAATATGACAAATATGTATTAACATTATTTAGAAAAAAAATTTACCGTTGGACAAAAATGCAAATCTTTAATTGTACAATTATTATTGTATTTTCATTCGGGTTGAGAGCTCGTAACTATTGTTTTCTTATAATTTGATGCCTTGGAATCTGTGGAAAGAAAGGTTTGACTTCTTTTTCGCCTTATTCTGACAGGATTTCGTACAATACATTTGAATTATTGTATCATAAACAGTTTTTGCAATAATTTTCAGCAATATTGATTGAAATTGATTAATTATTGAGGTTAGCTTAAATACGTCAGGGTCAGACCGCGTTCAGTAAATTGATGATTTAATTATCTGTCACCCACAAGCGGCGCGCGCAGCACAGGTAAAATGAGAAAGGTCCATTGCTTTAAGTAAAGGGCATGGATGATCTTGAAGTAAAAAATCCGCTATACAAAATGACAAATATTGCAGTAGGATTAGAATCTATATCTACGTACGATGGAAGTAGTAGGGTAGAAGCATATATTTATTATACTACGTATATCGCGGGTTGGTTTGAGTTCTTGAAGCAAACATTATGAGATAGAACGATGCCTTCTTTGTCTTAAGTGAACTTATTTTTCCAATGCGCATGCGTCAATAAGATTTCATTTTAAACAGCTGATATTGCAGGGTTGCCAATAAAATTATTTTCATCTTTGAATTATTTAAACATTCACAAGAAACATGAGGAATTTTGTATTTTGGTGCGTGTAACACACACTCGATTTCGACAAATAAACCAATATTTTCATTTTTATTAGTGTTTTGGAATCAAAATACAATCGAACAAATTATAACCTCAAAAAATGATCCTAATTCATTGTACTTGTTCTCCTTCGTTTGACAAAGATAGACTTATGCGAGATCATATAACTTTATCTCTCTTTGTTTGCTTCA